ATAGCTGTTTACATTGATTTAAATGTAACTGTTTCCGTTTGCTTAAAATGGAATTCTTTACATTTTTTACAACTTAATTGTTTACATGTATTTATTTAAATCCATTTAAAAATTTGTTATTGGTTTTTTTTAAAAAAAAAAAATTAAAGTTTTGCGCCACCTTCCTCCAGGCAAAAACTGGTTTGCAGAGCCTGGATCCTTGTGCGGAAGTGTGTGCTTGTACAATACACTGTGCTGGCGGTTAAGTGCCCTCAGTTCTGCTTTTTCTGGCCTCTTCTGCCGCGGAGGGTAGAAAGACAACTCCCAGCCTGGGTTTCAGACTGCCACCCCCATCATGCCCAGCTGGCTGGGGCTAATGGGACTGGTAGTGCCAGCTGCCAAAAGCAACGCCCGATTGGCAAACATTGCCACGAACTGATACACCGAAAACACTTCTCTCTTTTGCTGGTCGGAAAAAATCTGTGCCCCCGCCCAGATGATGCACAAACACACAAACAGAGAGAGAGAAAAAGAGAGAGGGGGGGAGGGAGAGAGACATACACACACACATAGACAACCAAAGAAAGAAGCAACCTAGAACTAAGGAGAAACTTCCTGACAGAACAATTAACCAGTGGAACTCCTTGCCTCCAGAAGCGGTGAATGCTCCAACACTGGAAGTTTTTAAGAAGAGACTGGACAGCCATTTATCCGAAATAGTATAGGGTTATCTGCCTGAGCAGAGGGTTGGACTAGATGACCTCCAAGGTCCCCTCCAACTTTATTATTATTATTATTATAAGGTGTGTGTGTGGAAAGATTGCCACGAATGGTGTTCCGAACCGATGCACCGTCTGAAAACGGTTCCCTCTTTTGCTGGTTGGAAAAAAATCTGTGCCCCCCCCCCCGATCACACTCACACACACACATACAGAGAGAGAGAGAGAGAGAAAAGCAAGGTGTGTGTGTGGAAAGATTGCCACAAAGCGGTGTTCCGAACCGATGCACCGTCTGAAAATGGTTCCCCTTTTGCTGGATGCAAAAAAAATCTGTGGCCTGCCCCGGATGACACACACACACACACACACACACACACACACACACACACACACAGTCAAGCAAGGTGTGTGTATGTGGGGGGGGGCTTCTCAGAAAGGAAGAGGAACAGCTGCCCCACCCCTTCAGATGAACTTCACGCAAAAGAGCATCAGGCCTTCAGCCAAAGACTGTGAAAAAATACAGCGGCTGTATTTGGGACAACAATATAAATTTGCTTTTTTTCTTTTTTGCCAAAAAAGAAGGAGGAGAAGGAGAAGGAGAAGGGAGGAAGGAGGAAGGAGGGAGGAGGAGGAGGAGGAGGAGGAGGAGGAGGAGGAGGAGGAAAAGAAGAAGAAGGAGAAGGAGGAGGAGAAGGAGAAGGAGGAGGAGGAGGAGGAGGAGAAGGAGAGAAGAAGAAGAAGAAGAAGAAGGAGAAGGAGAAGGAGAAGGAGAAGGCGAAGAAGGCGAAGAAGGAGAAGGAGAAGGAGAAGGAGAGAAGAAGAAGAAGAAGAAGAAGAAGAAGAAGAAGAAGAAGAAGAAGAAGAAGAAGAAGAAGAAGAAGAAGAAGAAGAAGAAGGGGGGGGGAATCATTCCCATTCATATTTTTGGCAGACCATCTGGGATGTTGATCCAAGCCGGTCACTTTCAATAACAAGGAGGAATTTTAAGGACAAGCGACGTGTAAGGACACTACAACATGGGTGTAGGATAAGTTGAAACCTCTGAAAAGGGGGGGTACACCCCCCCGGACCCTTAATTCCGGGTTCCGGGTGGATTTGGGAAAGAGAAACTCCAGCCTGGAGAGGTGTGTGTGGGGGGGGGGGTTCTCCCTTTGGTGGGATTGTGTTCAAGAAGCTGGACCCCTGGACATCATGGTGGGCGGGGTTGGGCTGGATGACCTCAAGCGCTCCTTCCAACTTTAGGGCTTTGGTGAACCGAGTCCTCAAGCTGCAGCAGTACATTTAGTAACCATTCAAAGTTACAAGGGCACGGGGGGGGGGAAAGCGACTTTTTGAGGGAAACCATCGGAGGTTTGATGGGGCCGGTGCTGCACCATATACAAACCAGGATGGTGAATCTGAGTTTAGCTTCTTGTGTGAACCAGGATGCAAATTTCCTTTAGGCTCTCCCAGCTTAAGGTAAAAAGCTTTTTTTAAAAATACTCCTCGACTTCTAAGTGACCATTTGCATTTACAATGTCTGCACTTATGACCCTTTCACCATGCCCGTGGTCTCATGATCAAAATTCAGAGGCTAAGCAACTGGCATGTACTTATGACGGTTGCAAGTGTCCCGGGGGTGTCACGTGATCCCCTTTTGCGACCTTCTGACACGCAAAGTCAATGGAGGGAAGTCAGATTCACTTAACGACCGGGTTACTCATTTAACAACTGCAGTGATTTGCCTCACAAGTGCGGCTCTCGGGAAATTCCAGTAGCGGTGAGTTGCACAGCTCCCAAGAGTCGTGCCCGCCCTCCTGAGGGCAGGGTTTCCTCTCTCTGAGCGGAGGAAAGGAGGCCACCCAGAGCAGCACTGCACATTTCTCAGCAAAAGCCCCTCTCCCCTTTGCTGAGGAATGTGCAAAGCTGCTCCTGGTGGCCTCCTTTCTCTCCGCCTCAGTTTTCTCACCTGGCAAATGGGCCTAAGGCGGCTCTGGGGAGGCTAAAATTGCAGAGTGGCGCCCCTTCCTTGCAACGTGCACTTAGGAACACAAAAGCCCTGCCTCCTTTTGTTCAAATCCGAGGGTTGTATGCAGCTAATAATAGATGTTGACTAATTAAGGGCCGAGACATCTGTCAGTTTCTGTTTACGATGATTCTCAAGGCTCCTTGGGAAGGCAGCGATGGTTCTGCTGGGGTAGGAGCAGTCTATCTTAGCTTACAATCTTGGTGGCTGGGTCTTCCCAAAGCCCCCCCCCTCCGCTAAGCTTTTCATTTGGCTCAAATGCACAGGGAGCCCTCGGCTTACAACCACGACGGAGCCCACGACATTTCTGTGGCTAAGCGAGACGGCGGCTAAGTGCATTTTGCCCCACTTTACGACCGTCCTTGCCACCGCTCTTAAGCGAATCGCTGCAGTTGAGGCGTTAGTAACCCGGTCGTTAAGTGAATCGGGCTTCCCTCCCATTGACTTGGCTGGTCAGACGGTCGCAAAAAGAAGATCGTGTGATATCTCCCGCCCCCCCCCCGGGACACTGCAACCGTCATAAATACGAGTCAGTGGCCAAGCGTCTGGATTTTGGTCAGGTGACCCTAGCGGATGTTGCCATGGTTGCATGAGTGTGAAAAACACTCATTATTCACTCTTTTTTGGGGTGGTTGTAACTGTGAACGGTCACTAAATGAACGGTTGTAAGTCGAGGACCGCTTGACGTTTGGAAGCCACGAGGGTTCAAACCCTGGGAATTCCCCGCCTCTGGAAGGGAGAGAGGACAGGGGGGGGGCTGCCACAAAGATGCCCCCTCCCAACATTATCATTGCTGCCATCTTGACTTTCTTTACACAGCCCTGGAGGTGATTCTCCATCCTATCCTATTGACCAAGTTGAATCCTAGAATTGAAAGGAACCCTTGAGGTCATCCAGCCCAACCCCCACCCACCAAAGCCTGCAAAAGGGCTGGTGGTCCAGCTTCTTCTTTCATCCAATGCTGGAGGATGGCTAGCTGCATGATCTCTCTCTCTCTCTTTCTCTCTCTTCTCTCTCTCTCTCTTTGACTCTCTCTGCCTCTCTCCCTCCCTCTTTCTCCCTCCCTCTCTCTTCCTCTCTCCCCCTCCCTCTCTCTCTCTCCCTCTCTCTTTCTGTTTGACTGTCTCTTTCTCTTTCTCTCTCTCTGCCCCTCTGCCCCTCTCTCTCCCTCTCTCTCTTTCTTTCTCTCCCTCTCTCTCTCCCCCTCTCTCTCCCTCTCTCTGCATCTCTCTCTCTCTTTCTCTGTTTGACTCTCTCTCTCTCTCTTTCTTTCTCTCCCTCTCTCTCCCCCTCTCTCTCTTTCTCTGTTTGACTCCCTCTCTCTCTCTCCCCCTCTCTCTCTCTGCATCTCTCTCTCTCTCTCTCTCTCTCTCTTTCTTTCTTTCTTTCTTTCTTTCTCTCCCTCTCTCTCTTTCTCTCCCTCTCTCTCCCTCTCTCTCTCCCTCTCTCTCTCTTTCTTTCTTTCTTTCTCTCCCTCTCTCTCTCTCTCCCTCTCTCTCTGCATATCTCTCTCTTTCTTTCTTTCTTTCTTTCTTTCTTTCTTTCTTTCTTTCTCTCCCTCTCTCTCTCTCCCCCTCTCTCCCTCTCTCTCTACATATCTCTCTCTCTCTCTTTCTTTCTTTCTTTCTTTCTTTCTTTCTTTCTTTCTCTCCCTCTCTCTTTCTCTCCCTCTCTCTCCCTCTCTCTCTCCCTCTCTCTCTCTCTTTCTTTCTTTCTTTCTCTCCCTCTCTCTCTCTCTCTCCCTCTCTCTCTGCATATCTCTCTCTTTCTTTCTTTCTTTCTTTCTTTCTTTCTTTCTTTCTCTCTCTCTCTTTCTTTCTTTCTTTCTCTCCCTCTCTCTCTCTCCCCCTCTCTCCCTCTCTCTCTGCATATCTCTCTCTCTCTTTCTTTCTTTCTTTCTTTCTTTCTTTCTCTCCCTCTCTCTCTATCTCCCCCTCTCTCTCCCTCTCTCTCTGCATCTCTCTCTCTCTTTCTCTGTTTGACTCTCTCTCTCTTTCTCTCTCTCTCTCTCCCCCTCTCTCCCCCCCTCTCTCTTTCTCTCCCTCTCTCTCTCTCCTCCCCCCCCTCTTCTCTCCCTCTCTCTCTCTCCCCCTCTTTCTCCCTCTCTCTCTGCATCTCTCTCTCTCTCTCTTTCTGGAGAGCATCAGCCCCCCTCCTCTGCTAACCAAACAGGGCTGAAAGGGACCCGGGAGGTCATCTAGTCCAACCCCCCTCCTTTGCTCCAGCGCCCTCCGCAAAGCAAGCCCGGCCAAGATGCGCGGCTCAAGCCAGCGAGCCCGGCCACCCGCCGCCCTTACCTAAGCGGGATCTTGATGGCCAGGTAGCGGTCCACGGCTACGGCCAGCAGGCTGAAGATGGAGCCCTGGGTGAGCACCAGCACGAAGCAGGCCAGGAAGAGGCAGCCGTGGAAGTCGGTGGTCAAGCCCACGCTGATGGTCACGGCGAAGGGGATGGCCAGCAGCCCCACGGCCACGTCGGCCACGGCCAGCGAGACCAGGAAGTAGTTGGTGGCCGTCTTCAGCCGGCTGTTCAGCGCCACCGCCCAGCAGACCAGCACGTTGCCCGCGATGGCCAGCCCGGCCATCAGCAGCTCCACCGCGATGTCCAGGCGGCTCATGACGCGGGCCGGACGGGGACCGAGCCGGGACCGCCTGCCGCCCGCCGGAGGACGGTCCCCGACCAAGGCTCAGCGCTGGCGAGGCGCGCATCCCCGCCAGGGGCACCCAGAGGCCATGTAGCCGCCCCCGCCGTCGGGGCGCGGCCCCTTCCCGGGGCTGGTCCGGACGCCACCCGCGATCCAGAAGGGGGGAGAGGGCTCCTCCGGCTAAGGCCAGGCTGGCACAATCCCGCTGGTGGTTCCGCAGCTCCGCCGGCCAGGCTGCGCTTTTCCCCCCCCCCCACCCCGAGATCGGATGGACGGACGGCGAAACACCCCCCTCGCAACTCCCCGGCGAGGCGCTCGCTCGCCTTTGGCGGAGGAAGCGGCTGCTGCGCCTCTATAAGGCACATGGAGCCCGGGAGGGGGCGGGGCCGCGGCGGAGGCGGCCCGTGATTGGCTGAGGAGGCTCTCCCGTAAATCCCCGAGTAAGGGCGGCGCTGCAATTGCCGCGCCGGCCGGAATGCGCACGAGGAGGAAAGCGGGCGGTGGCCGAGACGAAAGGAAAGCTCATCCGTGCCGGGCTGGGGAAGACGCGTTTCTGACTCGGCCGGCCTACCTCGCGGGGCTGTTGGAGCAGAGACCTCCCTTCCCTGCAGAGGTTTTTTTTTTTCTTGTCTTCCAGGAGCGCCGCTGATTGAAGCGTCTGGCCGGGAGAAGGCATCGAACGCCGAGCTTCGTGCTTTCCGGCTAAAACTAGACGGGGCGTCCGGGCCGGACAGAATTAATCATTAGGTTGCTTGCAGAGGGAGCTGCATTTTGGGTATGCTCAGAAGGAGCGGCGCTTTGCCCATGCTCAGAGGAGTTACGCTTTGCTCGTGCTCAGAAGGAGCTGCACTTTGGCTATGTTCAGAAGGAGCGGCGCTTTGCCCATGCTCAGAGGAGCTACGCTTTGCCCATGCTCAGAAGGAGCGGCGCTTTGCCCATGCTCAGAAGGAGCTGCACTTTGGCTATGTTCAGAAGGAGCGGCGCTTTGCCCATGCTCAGAGGAACTAAGCTTTGCCCATGCTCAGAAGGAGCTGCTCTTTGGCTATGTTCAGAAGGAGCGGCGCTTTGCCCATGCTCAGAGGAGCTACGCTTTGCCCGTGCTCAGAAGGAGCTGCACTTTGGCTATGTTCAGACGGAGCGGCGCTTTGCCCATGCTCAGAGGAGCTACGCTTTGCCCATGCTCAGAAGGAGCGGCGCTTTGCCCATGCTCAGAAGGAGCTGCACTTTGGCTATGTTCAGAAGGAGCGGCGCTTTGCCCATGCTCAGAGGAACTAAGCTTTGCCCATGCTCAGAAGGAGCTGCTCTTTGGCTATGTTCAGAAGGAGCGGCGCTTTGCCCATGCTCAGAGGAGCTACGCTTTGCCCGTGCTCAGAAGGAGCTGCACTTTGGCTATGTTCCGAAGGAGCGGCGCTTTGCCCATGCTCAGAGGAGCTACGCTTTGCTCATGCTCAGAAAGAGCGGCACTTTGGCTATGTTCCGAAGGAGCGGCGCTTTGCCCACGCTCAGAGGGATTTGCACTTTGCCTACGCTCAGAAGGATTTGCGCTTTGCCCATGCTCAGGAGGAGCCGCGCTTTGCCTACGCTCCGACACCTCCAAGGCTCAGCCCGGGCGTGGCCGGCTGCACTACGAAACCACCCTGCCCGTCTTCCCCTGCCGGCGTGGGGTCAGCCAGTCCCCGCGTCTCCCCAGACACGTGATCAAACCGAGTGACCGGAGGAAGGGGCATGAAAGAGGCAGCAAAGCTAGCCGTCCCGGCTTTAAAATCCGGATTTGCGGGATCAGCTCTCCCCGCCCGGCTCCACCCCTCGTGCAAGCCGTAAAAACAGCTTGCAAATCCTATTAGCTTTGCATACCCGAATCCCACGCAGCCCGGGACGCCTTCACACGACCTGGAGCTAGCGGGACCGAGAACACGCGATTCCGGCAAAGCTTGGGACTTTGCAAAGCGTGACAAGCTCAGAGGGGCTTTGGGGCTTCGCCCTGTCTCTTCTTTACGGTCTGGTGAAAGCCTGGAAGTTGGGGCTGTTTATCCAGGATTGCTCCGGGACTAATCAAGACGATTAAACCTCTGGCAGCCAACAGCTGCTTCTGTCTGGTTCAAGACAGAAACCAAATCTAGTTTTGGTTATTTATTTTTTTTATTTTTGCATTTAGCTTAAATTGCTGATTAAAGGAGTCTCTCTGCGTAGCAATAAAATCATTAAAAAATGGGCAAAACCCAGGCACTTGCTAGTGGATGTGCCCTAAAGCAAAAAAATAAAAATACAATAATATATGGACAAAAATTCGTACTTGGTTAGGAAAAAAATGTTAAGATTTTTTTAAACCGGAACTATTTCTATTAGCCAAAATTTCAGGAAAATATGAGAAAGAACATGGATATTGAATGGTATGTGTATTCACAGCAGCCAGAATTGTTTCTGCGCAGCATTGGAAATAATGAAGAAACGCCCTCTGAAGACGACATAATGAAGAAAATACTGGAGATGTGCAGAAATGGATAAACTCACCTTGAAGATTAAAGAAAAAAGAAGATATAAGATATTTTCAAATATGGGATGTGTTTTACGAATGGCTGGAAAAATGGGGTAGAGAGAGTAGGATTGTATTATATGTTATTAAGCTGAGAACCGGACAACGCGTTGTTTATTAAGCAGCTATTAAGTGTAAACATGAAAAAATAAATAAACTAATAAAAAAAAATCATAAAAATGGGCTAAGCCAAGTTGCCTTTGAACTGCAACACAATGTTGCAACGTCCGCCCTTCCATTCCATTGCCGGCCTCCACCCATTCCAACAGAGCCCGTGCGGTTTTTTTGCTCCTTTGAAGTCGTTTCCGTATATATTGTTTCCTATTATCGCCACATTATTGCAATATTTATGATTCCCTGATCGGCCGCCAGGATGCTTTGGGGGTGACAGATAAAACAGCTGCACTTGGTCTCTGGAACAGGACAAACCATGAGGGAAAGCATTTCTAATATATATATATATATATATATATATATATATATATATATATATATATATATATATATATACACACACACACACACACACACATACACACACACACACACACACATATATACAAGTTATAAAGCTAAAAATTCGACTCTTGGGTAAGTCCATAATAAAACCAATAAATACCGATCACCAAGAGGAAAGTAGTAAAAAATTTAATTTAAATTTTTTACTACTTTCCTCTTGGTGATCGGTATTTATTGGTTTTATTACACATATATACATACATATATACAGGGCTTTTTTTTGTCATAGAACACCCTGGCACCTTTTTTAGATGGAATCTTGTAGGGTAGGCAAGGCGGGTTGTATGACGTGTGTGAGTTCCGGCACATTTTTTTTTTTTACAAAAAAAGCACTGCATACACACACACACACACACACACACAAATATATACACACACACCCCATACACAAATAATATATATGTATATATGTCTTTGGTTATTCGGGTTTTCTCCTGCGTAAAATTGGAAGTGTCTTGGCGACGTTTCGACGAAGTCCCATTCGTCATCTTCAGGCTGGTGTTTTCAGCTTCGTGCTTCAAGGAGCAAAACACCAGCCTGAAGCTGACGAATGGGAAGCTGAAAACACCAGCCTGAAGATGACGAATAATAATAATAATAAGCTGTTGCAAGAAGATTGCACAGACTGACTACAAGCAGCGGCATGGCAAAGTAGCAACAATGGTGCATTGGAAGATCTGCAAAAAATATCATTTGCCTGTAAGCAAAAACTGGTGGGATCATAAAATAGAGAAAATCATAGAAAATGATAAAATTAAACTACTCTGGGACTTCAGAATTCAAACAGACAAGCACCTGCAACATAACACCCCGGACTTAACAATTGTCGATAAGAAAGGCAAAAAAGTCTGGATAGTGGAGGTGGCAATTCCTGGAGACAGCAGAATAGATGAGAAAGAACTGGAGAAGATAACAAAACACAAAGACCTACAAATAGAAATAGAAAGACTGTGGCAAAAGCAAGCAAGGGTAGTACCAATAGTGATAGGCTCCTTGGGTGCAATCCCAAAACAACTGGAGCACCACTTGAACACCCTTGGCATTGACAAATTTGCCATTACTCAATTGCGAAAGGCGGCCTTACCTGGAACTGCTTCCATCCTGCAACGATATCTGTAATACCATCAAACATCCACATCTGCCTATCCCAGGTCCTGGGTAAGGACTCGATAGGTAGACAAAATGCCAAATCCAGTCTGAACATCTGGCTGACTGTGTGATGATCGATAATGATGATAAAGTTGGAAGATACCTTGGAGGTCATCTAGTCCAACCCCCTGCTCAGGCAGGAAACCCTACACCATTTCGGACAAATGGCTATCCAGTCTCTTCTTAAAAACTTCCAGTGTTGGAGCATTTACTGCTTCTGGAAGCAGGTTGTTCCACTGGTTAATTGTCCTCACTGTCAGGAAGTTTCTCCTTAGTTCCAGGTTGCTTCTCTCCTTGGTCAGTTTCCATCCACTGCTTCTTGTTCGGCCTTCAGGTGCTTTGGAGAACAGCTTGACTCCCTCTTCTTTGGAGCAGACCCTGAGATACTGGAAGGCTGCTATCATGTCCCTCCTAGTCCTTCATTAAACTAGACAGACCCAATTCCTGCAACTGTTCCTTATATGTTTTAGCCTCCAGTCGCCTAAAGTCATCTTTGTTGATCTTCTCTGCACTCTTTCTAGAGTCTCAGCATCTTTTTTATATCCTGGTGACCAAAACTGGATGCAGTATTCCAAGTGTGGCCTTACCAAGGCCTTGTAAAGTGGTATTAACACTTCACGTGATCTTGATTCTATCCCTCTGTTAATGCAGCCTAGCACTCAGGAGGTGGGTCGCCTCTGTCATCCAAAAGTGCGTCCGACACATTGTAAAACGCAGTCACATATTCCCAGGACACTGCAAATGGTTGTAAATGTGAGTCAGTTGCCAAGACCCTGACATATATTCTCTTGAGTGAGGGAGAGGCGGCTGTCGAAACTTCAGCACATAATGGGGGGGGGCGTCGTTAACTTGGAGCATCGCTGAGCAACCAGTTGTAAGTGGAGGACTATCTGTGTCAGTGCATTGTGTGCCCAAATGGTTCACACTTCTCACGACGGGCACGGGCAAAATGGCTGAATATGCACACCTCTTCCATCTCCGAGTCAGCCTTCTGACCCAGCTGGGTACCTTCTGGACGTGCTGGACATCAAGTGCCA